TATTGAAAAATTAATACTTATATATGTGGTAATTTATATATATTACATTTGTATACATTATATATATATATATATATATATATAATTTATCTCTTGATTTCTATTTTTATTTTTTACTTTAATTTATTTATTTCAATTTAATTATATATTTTACAAAAAAAAAATTATCAAGTGAGTGAATTAAAATTTAATAAATTAAAAATAATTTAGCATATATATTTAATTAAAAATGTGTTTTAAATTTTATAATGAAAACTATTTAGAGATATTAAGTTAATTAATTACTCTAAATTATATATCTTGATATAATAAGAGAGTGACAGTGTCACATATATCTTTGAAAGAAAAAATGTGTAATTTATTCTATGCATTAACATGTAAAACTATAAAAGAAGAGTAATCTAATACTTATATTGATTAGAGAAAAAAATGTAATTTAATTTAATGATAATAAATTAAATAGACTAAATTATATATTTTAATATATTAAAAAGGATAATGTAATATCAACAGAAGATTTTATTTGGTTATGACAATTAAACCATTAATTATTTTAAAAAAATATAAAAAGAAACTCTATTTTAAGACAAATCAAAATATAATTTTTTTAGAAAATTATGTAGACACCCATCAAAATTTTGTGAAATTAACTTCTTTTATTATTTAAAAAAACATTATACTAACACTTTTATCCATTATATCAATTCCCTCGCTTGTTTGAACAATATTACACGTAACACTAAAGATAGGTTGTTGTAAATGATAAAAAAATTAAGAAAATTGTGTGTAATTTCATTAAATTAATGAAAATGTAAATGTAATGTAATCTATATACCTTTTATATGTTTTTGTTGGGTGAATACTAAATTTTTTATATTAAGTATGAATGTATTATCGTTTTTATTTGCAGCCCAGAGTTGTACGTATGAATGTATTATCGTATAAATGGCCAGTGTAATAGTTTTTTTGTGTTGTAAGACTTTGACGTAGAAATGTTAAGTACGTGTCCGAATGTCATTTGCTTGGCATTGAATGTTAGTTACGAGTACAATTATCATCATCTTCTTACTCCTCCACGGAATTAAAAAATAATAATAAGAAGAAGAAAATAGGTGGGTATTGTATGGGTCAGCTAGGGAGGTTCACACCAAACTCCAAAGTCAAAAAGCTTCTTCAATTGCTTTGTCGAAAAAGAGTGATCTTCCTTCCTTTTTTCCTTATTTGCAAAAGGGTCCCTCAACACTCCACCCTTTTTCGTTTTTCCTCACCACTATTATGTCCAGTTCAGACTTGAGGCTTAAGAGGGCCTTACCCCTTAGTTGAGTTCAGACCATGCGCAATTCAGTAATTGAGACTCGTGCCTCGTGAAAAAAAACAATGCATCTCGAGGCTTATCCACGTCAGAGGTAAAGAGAAAGTTTTAGGAATTTGAAACATGGAATTATATATTGTCATTAACAGCTAGCACCGACAAAACTACCTTTAAATTAACCTTAATTTCTAAACCTCATGCTTCATTGTTTGCTAGTAATAGTACTAACATGATGACCTGGGAGAAATGGCATGAAATGTGAATAATTACATTTGTCTTAATTACATTAGACAAAATAAGCATAATCATTAGATCAAAAGTGGTGGGTGGGAAACGACCCGAAATTCAGAAATTGTCGTGAAACGATGGTAATATGATTGTAATACTAATTGATAGGCGCATGCGCATAATCGATGGAATTTTGGGCCATAACCGATTTCACGAAATTAATACCTGACTATTAAAAAAATATTTATTCATTGCATGTGATTTTCCAACAGCCACTTTATTCGAATTGCGTAGGGTAGCTAATTAATCACAAGATAAACAATGCTATTGTGCGCATAACATATACAACAAATAAATTATTGTTTGGAATTGCTCACTTGCTGTATATTTTTGACTTAATCCGATGTCTCACGACATGCTTCTTTATGCTTTTCAAGACCCAACAAGGCCTTTGCGTCGTGCATAAGATACTATGGATATAAACAAGGATCCACAAACCATTCCACCGAAGATCACCACCTAAAATTATAAAATTGAATTAAAAAATATCAGGTGATTAAAGCTATATATACACTCTCTCACACTCGCTTACTCATACATATACGTACATACACCTTTCTATACATACCCATTTAAACATGTGTTCATGGCCTGTTTTCCATGCATAGGGTATGTTCATGCCAAATATTGCAGCCACCAATGAATATAAGGACATACAAACAGTCCCGGCACTAATGAAGAGCTCTAGCTGTCCCATGAATACACAATAATAGTAGTATTTTAAGACATCAATCATGGCTTTGGTAACAAATATGTTTCAAAAAGTTATTGTAGGAAGAGGCGTAGAATTAATAGATACATAACCTCATAAGGAGAAAAGCTTATACCTGAATCAGTTGATTTCGGTGATTGTCAAGCTGCATGCATGTGGGACATGTTACAAAGAGTTGTGAGTTATGCTACAAATAGGGTGTTCGATCAATTTCTGTTCAGAAATTCTTGCTTGTGCCTAAAATTTACCTGTATGTTTATGTAATCTTCTGTGTCATCGATATACTCTCGCAACTGAAATGTGAAAGAGTAATCAAAATAGCAAAGTTTGTTACTTAATTAGTGCAAACTCGGAAATTTAGTAGGAAAGATTAAAAGAAAATGCAGTTCATACTGTGGCCAATTTATTTAATGTGCCGTCAATTTGCATGAAGTTGGCCTGCAAAGGCAAAGCACAACATTATTCAGTTCAATGCAATTCATTTATCTAACTTGTCAGCATCGGTGGCAAAATTAAATATATGAAAACTTTTGTGACCTCGAGTAACATTTCAAGCTCTTCAATATCATTCTCCCTTTGAACTGTTGTTACACTTGCTCTGCTTGATCTGTGTAATTTAGAACCTGTATTTGGAGAGCCATAAAGCCAGTACGGAGCATCAGAGCTACTTGAGGGAGAGGGTGAAACAGACAACTTTCTTGATAAGTAAAGATCGGCCATGTCGTCGTCATCATCAAGTAGGTTTTCTAGTTCATCTCTAATCTAAAAGAAACCGAAGTATAATGTAAACAGAAAACATGCGAGAAGAGAAAATCAGTGACAGGTAAGTTACATTCTTCTTTTGGAGCACAAATATTGTACACGTAAAGAAAAGGGAAGAAGAAAATTAACTTGTGAGAGGGAAAGGAATAGAATTGTGTGAAAATATCTATTTCCTTTCAACATACCTTTTGAACTCGATTTGTCAACCTCGTCATTGCACATTTCAATTTTCGCACTCTATCCAAATTACGACTGCTGATCTGGACACAAGTTATAATTTTGTGGAAGGGGAAAGGAGAAAGTGTCATAAACTCATAATTTTGTTACAACAGATGATGGGAAATTAGTAATAGAAATGGATATTGATATGTCGTTTTAGACCAGAAATTAGTAATAGATTTAAAGCTTGTCTAGATACAAGTTAAGAAGAATTTTTGAAAACTTCTCCACTAAAAATAAAGAACAGTTTTTAGTACGAAAACTCTAAAAAAAATACTTCTAACTTATATTCAAATATATTCATGATCCCGAAAGAATATGTAATGTCTTTGGGATAGCTATATATCTCACTCGAGAACGGCTTTGCTAGCTTAAAAGGGGGAGAATAGTTAAAAAGAAAATAAATGATATCATAATTAACGACCAAAATTGTTTTTTAGCCTAGTAAGTTGACATCTTTTGCTGACAACAAAATGGTGTCTAGATATTTTAAGCTTGTAAAGAATTAACATGCTTAATTTGACAGAGCACGGGATAGTACAACAATGATTTAAATGTACAGAAAATTCATAACTCAAAGCCTGTCATATCACGTCCATGCATTTTGCTTCGTCATAAATATTACTCAAACTTTGAGTTCTGCTACTGTGGTAAAAAAGTAACATGTTTTCTCCGTATGATCCTTTTTGATGATATCATCAGAACAACAAAAAAATCTTCTAAACTTAACAATTTGAACGAACGCAAATTCGGTATCCATGTTCTTGTATTGTACCAAGGTGAAAAATCAATAAAAAACATAAAGCATACACACATGCATACATACCTTCGAGGTGAGTTCGTCCAAAGCAGGATAAGCAGCAGTCTCTAACTCTCTTGTTCTTGCGTCAAGGAAACTACAAATTGCCTCTAACAAAACTTCCAAGGCCCGTATCTCAAACGGAAATTCTACAAGCCATAAGTCAATTTCCCATTATTGCAACAGAAACAAAAATTAAATAGTCCAAACTGTTTGATTACAATAAATTAAATTAAGTACCATTTTCTTCTCCAGCTTCACCATCTTGAGCACACGCCTCTTCTTCTCCACTTACTTTGGGTAGCCGTCGCTTAAGTTCCTCAACAATTGGCACCACGTCATCATCCGTTGGGTCTCTCAGCAACACCTAACAACAAACAACACAACCAATTCCATTTCCACAGCATCACTCTCAAATAACTAAGACATTCAACATCAAAAACACATCAATAAGAGTATGTTTAGATAAAAGTTTAGAAATTCTCAACTGAAAAATAAAGATTAAAAAACTCATCTAAACTTTATCGAAACAGACTCTAAATTTTGTAATGAAAAATTGTTTCCCTCCAGAATTGGCTAAATATAATTACAAATATATTGTTTAGTCACTGGTTTCAATTCTTATATCACTTTATCAATATCATGTATCATGAAACATACCTCATCTGCAGTGATGATAGCCTTAATGTGCTGCAAAAAACAAATAAAAAAGTTGGTGTGAAGCAAAAATAAAAGGAAAAGGTAAGCAGAAAAACTAATGATAACTGATAACAAAGTGTTTGCCTCTAAATTGAGAACAATGACTTTGTCTCTGCCCAAAATGGTGGAAGGATAAGAAAGGAGAGGGTCGAGAATCCTAAGATCTCTTGTGTGAATTTTAACGAGGCGCATGATAGCATACTTATCCGCATCCAGCACAGTGCCTTTGCCATCATGGTTCAGCAGAATCCAGCTTCTGGAAACCGCAGTTTTCTTCTTTGTGGAAGAAGCTTGAAGCTCGACCACAGAGGCATCAAGAGTCATTTGATGAGGAAAAGAGGGTTGTGCGTAAGAGGATGAGAAGAAGACAATGATGGCATATTTGGAAGAGTTAGAGAGCTATGAAAGATATCTTGCATGAGTTGATTTGGTGACAGGTAGTGGGGTTGTAGTGGCAGTAGAGGGGGGTTAAAAAAATGACATGATTGTGCTTAAACATGGTTGGTTTGAACTTTAGGAGAATTGAAGGAACAAGCTACAACGTTGGTTGGAGGTAATTCTTCGTTGCACGCTTTTTTCTTTAAGATTACATATTTTAGTTTAATATTTGCCTCAGGTGTGGTCCAATTATTGGTTGGCTTCTGTCTCTTTTCTGTTTAATGTTGGTGTTAATAAGTGTCCAAACATAGTAGTCTGGTGGTAAATTGGTAATAATAATACCATGTTTAATCAAAATCTATTTCATCGTGCTAGATTCTTATTCCCGTAGTCGCATATAAAATATCTATGCTTCTTTTCAAATTTTGAGTGAACAAAGTTCACTACTTCTAGTTTTTATCTTCTTCTTTAATTTGGACTATGCTACTTCTAGTTTCTACTAATTCGAAGTATGAAACCAAATACGCTAAATTATTAGTTTATTTAGAAAACATTTATACGTAGAATTGTATTTTGTTTTATCTAATTCATGAAATTAGGGGGTTTTCTAACCAAATTTCTAAATCATGACTAGTGGCAAATTATATAAAATATCCGCAACCTTATTGCATTAAGGATGAGAAAAGTCACAATTATTGAAAGCATAAAACCGTGAAATTGCAAGGACAATACGTGTCAAATCTATCTGTCCTGAGATCCATTATGGAAAAGGACCCTTCATTTAGGCCCAAAAAATCTCACATATTCTTCTGAAAGACTCGTTTCAATTGGCCACGCGCCTTGCTTGTGTTTTAAATTTTGAACAAAAAATTCTTTTCCAAATGTCCATGACTTTTGAACAAGAATGAGAACTTGTCACGACATTAACAGAATTGAGGAGTGCCAACATTAGTAAAATTTGTGTATATATATATAAGAATAAATTAGAATTTAAATAGGGAATTATGTGAATAAACGTATTGTAACGTGAACTTAATGCAGAGCTTTTTTTTTATTTTCCCTTTGAGTTTTGTTTTATGAAAATGAGTTACTTTTTTTTATGAACATTTTATGAGAAATATTTTTTTTATGTTTTCCTTTTAAAGAAAAGTCAGTTTAAAAAAATTCAGTGAAGCTTGGTCAAAGTATTTAATTATAGAAATTAAAATAAAATATTTTTAACTATAAGGACTAAAAGATGAAGTTTATGAAATTATAAACCTATATTTTACTTTTTAAGATATATATTTATTGTGCAAAGGCTTAAAAACAAATTAACCGTGATAAATGTTTTCCAGCATTACAACGGGCCGTCTTACAAATTATTGGGCCGGGTTAGTGTTGTACGATATCCAATATCTATTCTCTTGTCTTGATGAATGAAATTCACCTATTGACCTATCTCTGCGACAAAAATTAAAAATATCATCTGTACGATGTATAACTTATAGCTGAAATTGATCCCTTTGTGGTGTTAACACAATTAGTTTTTCAAAAACTATTTTAATTTAATAATGTAGAGAATTTTCGGAACGTAAATAGTTAGCAAGGAATAAATTAATTATTAAAAATTAAAAATAATAAATTAACAATTCATTCATTATTAAATAGTTTCAGTTAATAGTTTTAATTGATTTGGTATTGAATAATATTGTTATTTAACATAAGTGTAAATACATGCAAGAGTGCACACACAAGCGGGAGGATGTCTAGTAAAAGGGAGTTTCTTTTTCACAGCAAAAGGGTTTTTTTTTTTTTACTATATAACCCTCGATATATTCGTATATTTATATTTTTTTATTTGTACTAATTTTGTATGAAATAAAATAAGATATATTTTTATCTCTCAAAATACTTTGAAATGTTAGTTTTAGTCTTGATCGTTTATTCATAAGCACACATTTTAATCCCAAGTGAAGAACCAAAATTGCATACCTTTTAATGAATATATGACTAAAAACATACTAATTTTTTATAATAATTAAAATCATTAAAAAAATTGAGAAATCAAAAGTACATTTTTCTAATATAATATTATTTCAGTTAATTTGTATAAGAATATTAAATAATAAATATATATTTTTAATTTTTATCATTATTAGTTAAAAATAATTACAAATTAATAATACATGATTAAAAAGGATGAGAAATGTGTAACAATAACATTTTATTAAACAAATGACAAGTACTATAAAAAAAATGACAAAATACATAACATCACATAATATAATTTTCGTTGCTTTTGTGTGTGAAGTATTTCTAAACATGCTCAAACAAATTTGCTTAAAGTTGAGGATGTCTTTCTTTATTGTGAAGATGTCTTCTCCTTGATAGGTATATTGTAGCAAAATTGGGATGAGAACTATTAAATACTTTAGTTATTATAATGTCAATATTTATATGATCATATTCATAATTATCAATGTTTGAGTGTTATTCTTTTTCAAAAATCATGTTATGCAAGATCGTTTATGAATATATATTGAGTATCAATCTAAATTTCTTAATAAATTAATAAAGTGGAATGTGAAGAGATACATTTAATATGCGTTGAATGTATATTGTTTCTTGAAAAATATCCTTACCATGATGAAAGAGAATGTGAAAAGGTAAAAAAAATATTAAGGTCCTCTAACCACTAGTGGAAAAAAGACTTTTAAACTGGAACGGCCCGTTCCAGTTTTGGAATGGGCCGTTCCAGCCTGTATAAAAGGCCAAAAATTTCACTTGAAGAACGGCCCGTTCTCCTTGGAGTACGGCCCGTTCTCCTTGCAGAACGGGCCGTTACAGCTTCAAAATTTTCCCAAATCGAACCTGTAACGAAAATTGAGACGAGAAAAGAATGAGAAAACGATAAGAGACACAAAAAAAACATAAGCAGACAAAAATGAAAACGAAATTTACCTGGAGACTTTAGAAAATGAGAAAGATTAAAGAAAATGAGAATGGAGGAGAATATAAAAGATTTCTGACGATACTTTTAAAATCGGTTAATTAAGAACCGATTTTGTATACTACATACAAAATCGGTTATGAGAGAACCGATCTTAAAAATGACACTTTTAAGATCGGTTATGAAAGAACCAATTTTAAAAGTGGCACTTTTAAGATCGGTTATAAAAGAACCGATCTTATAAGTACTTTTAAGATCGGTTCTTTTACAACCGATCTTAAAAGTGCTCTTTTATAACCGATCTTAAAAGCGCCACTTTTAAGATCTGTTCTCTCATAACCGATCTTAAAAATGCTTTTAAGATTGGTTCTTTTGTAACCGATCTTAAAAGTACCACTTTTAAGATCGGTTCTTTTATAACCGATCTTAAAAGTACTTTTAAGATCGGTTAAATTTTAACTGATCTTAAAAGTGTTTATGTTACTTACAAAATTACCACCGCGTCACTTTTAAGATCGGTTACCTTATAACTGATCTTAAAACTCCGATTTTAAATCCAATTTTTGCACTAGTGAACTGTCATATATGAATGTAATCTTGCACCTTTACTACAGGGATCTTGAGATGTTAGTGGTCACCACTCATTTAAGAGAGGAAAGGGGTTACCATCCTATGCAAGAATGAAGTTTTGTACCAAGATTTCTTAAGTTTACATAAAAAACTTCTAATAGAGAGAGTTTCTCAAGTTCATAAAAAAAAATTAAAGAAAAAATGTGTAATGTAATTTGAGACAATAAATATTTATTAAAATATTCTATGAATATAAACAAGAGATGTCGAACCATGTTAAGTTCATATCCTTGGTATTTTATATTAGTGTTGTTTTTATGTGTCTATACCATCTAATTTTTATTGCATATGAAGAATATTTTTCCAACAATATATTATATTTTTCACTGCATTCACATGTCAAGAGTGCTTGTTGACCATATATAATTATAAATCAAGATTAGAGCACTTCAAATACCTGTTATACGTCATTTATTATTGATTCTTATTGTTAAACAAATATTTTCTTCTTTTTTTGTGACATTGAGATGATCTTTATAAAAGTAGTCCTCTAACAATAAATATCTTATTTATTTTTTCACCTATTATATATAATTCACATTATACAATTCTGACTTCCGAGTGCCAGTTACATCATCTATTGAGGAATTTTTTAAAAGGAACAACTGCTTATGTTTTGGGTATTCATAGTTTTTTTGGTCTAGAGTGAAAAGACAAGAATTGTATAAATATTGTTTGTCAATTTTTTGAATCTGTTGAGAAGTCTGTGGGGGTACAAAGGAAGTGATGATCAGCTCAAAAGTGTGAAAACAGGTCCCACAGGAAATTTATTTTGGCATAATAAATGCCATTGAAGTCAGATATGAGTTTTTTTTTTTCCATGCCGAAGTTTCTTCACTTTTGGTTTATTCTTTATGTTTCTTAATATAATATTTAAATAATAATTTGTTGTACCTATTATTGGACAAGACGCTACGTAGTACGTATATCATGGTCGACTCCATTAATTAATTAAAATATTCATGTTAGCACTTAGCACTCGTGTGAATCTTGGTTTACACAGTTAATGGTATTTAATTTATTCACAATAATATTACGTGACAAATTGTTAAGTCTCAATTTTACCTCTTTTTGGATGAGACTTATTGAACAAATTCCACTCATCCTCTGAACCATTGCAATATAATTGTTCTCTTTTTGGTTCTTTTTGTGTGCAGATATAACTAACCCAAATTTAGCTAACAATACCTTAATACACCTCATTTTTTGTGCAGGTATTTAGCTAGGGACTTGAGGATTGAAGATCCATAGGATTGGAAACTAAAGGAGCTAAGGAGCAGAGAAGAGGTTATGCGCCGGGCGCAAGGTGATCCGCGCCGGGTGAGCAAAACAGAGCATCTCACCTCTGGAAGCTACTGCGCCGGGCGCAATATGAATTGCGCCCGGCGTGTCCTGAAGACAGAGGGCAATTGGAAGGCCATGCGCCGGGCGCGAAGACTTATGCGCCGGGCGCATGAACCCTAATTTGTCTCCCCAAGCTCGTATTTGAAGGCATTTTCGGGGACTTCTCCCCCATTCTCACATTGGGCGCCTCCAGGAGCTGCGGAAGGGATTCCCAGGGCTTGGGATCGTCCGTGTGCGGATCTTTCCTTCGGTTCTTCA